GGTGGGTACTGGGGAAAAAAATACCGGGGGTGGATCAAAACCAGGGCGTACTGGCTTTTAGGAAGGGAGGGATCCACAAAGCCTAAAGAACCTTACCCCCAAAAATTAATGCAGCCCCCCCCCCTCCCCCCCCCCAAATTGTGCGCTGGGCTAACAACCCATCCTTGTAAATTGCTAAACAAAAACAGATTCTAATGGAAACTGACCCAAGCCTGGATATGGAATTGATTTTCGTTTGCTACTTGGAATGTAGTAAGCCTGTTAAGACTAGTGCAGGAACCTTAGTCAAATAGATGAACTAATTAAATATAAAATCTCTATAGCTGCATTGCAAAAAATTTGATGGCAAAAAATGTAGGCATCCTTCAAAGGACTATACTATGTCACTATATTTTATAGTGGCAACAGCATTAACACTCTTAAAGCCCTCGATGCAGTTACATAGGTTTAAAACCAGAGAATCAAAGAATGGGCTCTTTGCGTGTGCCAGGAAAAATATTTAATTTTAATATAAAATTTATAAATGTTTATGCTTCCAATCGAAGATACAGGTCAGATAAAACTCCTATTATGAGACTCTGGAAAAAATCTGTGATTAGGCACCAATACAATGACATATTAAAAAATGATTTTTGCCTTTAACTTTAATCCCAAATTAGGGAAAGTAAAAATGTTTGTCAACTATTGGCAAGGAGAGTCTACATAGAGAATCCCATGAGAAAGGGATCTGAAGTCATAGACTGTTTCAGGAAGAGGGATGACAGTTTCCAGCACCAAGTTTCAACTTAAAAATATACGTAAAGTTACTTTGAACTAACCAGATGGAATCACTCACAACCAAATGGACCATGTTCTAATTGATCAGAGACATGGATCATAAAGACAAAAGGAGCTATCCTGGAGCAGATGCAGTGACCATTTACTCGCAAAGGTTTTATAGGTATAAGCAGAGAATAAGCATAATACACAATGGCGGAAATCAATGAGAAATTACCAAAAAATTACCAAAGACCCACTTACTGCAAAAGCTTACCAAAATGAAGTAGCAGCACAACTAGGTGCATCACAGGAGGAAATAAATAAGGAAAACAACAAATCAACAGTACGGTATGATACGATAAAAAATGCTATGAAAAGATCAGCAGAAAAAGGTAGGATTTCAGCAAACTAACAGTAGAGTAGGCTGGTTTGATGATGAATGCTGAGAGATTGTCAAAGAAAGGAACAAGGCATTTGAACGACCATGATTATGATTCAACAGGAAGCTGGAAAAACTTTACTAAAATATGGCAAGAAGAGAAACAGCACAAATAACCTAAATAGGCAAGAAAGGTTCTAAACTTCAATGCACAAACTACATAAGAATTTCCTTTACTATTTTTTTATATACAAAATTAATTGCCAAAAGACTTCAACCATACACATATTGAACAAATACTAGGTGACTACCAATGTTGATTCAGACAAAACAGATCAATGACTGATCAGATTTTCACCATCGGATGCCTATTAGAGAAATGTTATGTGGACATATGAAAGCATCAAAAGAAGCAAACTGACACATTCACACTCAAAAATCAAGATACAGAGTGAATTTCAGATTAAACAAGGCCTAAGACAAGGAGACTCATTGTCTTGTATACTATTTATTCTTAACCTAACATTGGAGATTTACAAGAAGCATACATATTGACACCTATTGAGGAACAATAACAGAATACTTTCTGAGGGAGACCCAAAACCCACAACCAAAAGGCACTCTACAACCAAACCCTTCAGCATCTTGAATATGCTGAGGACACATCACTGTTACGGAAAAGTAGTAAATATAAATTAAAAGCTTTTACTTTTACTGAGTTAGATCACTAAAAGCAGGACTGGAAGTTAACAATAAAAATGTTTAAATATACATACGACTATATTAAGAGAAGAATAGTCACTTGAAACCATCAAAATTAGAAACTATACTTTTGAAAAGTAAATATATTCAAATACCTAGGATCTTTATTAAATGAAAGAAATTATGAATATCAGTAACAGAAATAATAGAAAGCATTTCAGCTGGAAGCAGGGCATACTTCAGTAGTCAGAAAAAGAGTAAAAAAATATAAAAGCAAAACAAAGAAAACTATGTCTCAAACTGTAATCAGACCATATGTAACATATGAAAGTGAAACTAGGACCCTAACAAAAACGTCAGAAAACCTATTAACCTTAAACACATGGGAGAGAAAGTTCTCCGGAAACTATACGGACCAACAAAGGATGAATGAGGATGGAGAATATGAACTAAATATATTTTCACATGGATTAGTTTTATAACCAAGTTACATAAACACAAGAATCAACATAACCTTTTATAGTAGTGAAAAAAGTGTTCACAAATCTTTCCAAGTCTCAATACAAAAAATTATTACCGGTACCTGATCAGATTTTTTTGGCCATTGAGACTTTTCAAGATCATAATAATTTGGTCACTATTTGCAATTAGACTTATTAACAGTTCACCATCACCAACAAAAAAGAATTACGATTTGGAACAAAGACAAGTTTGATTCTGGTCTATTTAACTAATACAAATAGGTGAATTGCCAATGCTAGAGAAATGTAAATAGATGATGAAATAATTGTCTAACAATTACACGTTTGCTGGCTGTTCACTGAATTGAAAGAAAGAAATTCTCGACACAATAGTCATAATAATCTTTTATTTTGTCATCAATTTCAGATCAACAAGAAACCAGAGTACAATTGTAATGACAATATAAATACACATTTCTCAACAATTACAGACTATTTATATATAGATTACCCTAGCATATTCCATCTTTTTTAGTTTTGTAAAAACAGGAAAATAAAGTTATGGAATGTAACTTAAATAGAACTAGAGACTGCATAAAATAAAAAGCACAATGTTCAGAATCTATTACCCTTTACAACAGGCAACATACTATTTTATTAAATCTTTTCTGCACAGATTTGCCTACTTTATTTCAAGTTAAAATATCTATTTAGGAAAAGTGCATTACATACAGTGGAAAGTGAGGGTTATTTATCACAGAGGATTATTTCCATTTCAAATGATATCTAGAATTCTTCTGAATTTCGTTAATTCTCATTAATAATTTTCTCTTATGGGCTGTTAAAAATTTACAAAAGCTATAGACAACACAAACTAAAAATAGTAAAAAAGCTATACTAGTAAAGCCTACCTTTATTAAGGCAGAATAACCGGAATTATGACAGTTTGGCAAATAACATTTTATTTATTATTTAAATTATTTACGAGTCACTTTCTGCTAACATAAGCATGAGAGAACAATATATACACATTTTACAAAAACACCACTCAAGTTTATCATGTTTGACTCTTCTTGATAAGGCTTTACAAAATTCTATATTAAGCATTCACATCTTGCATTGAGCATCAACACGCTTCATATTAGAAATTTTTATGATATAAACCATTATTAAGGTATATTTAAATAACTAATTATCGTGCTTGATGGCTGAATAAATCTCCGGTAAAAAATATTTAGGCCATAGGATGATTTAGCCCTTCATAATGGAGGGTTAAAATTATTTTTATCACCGCAATTCATCTATGCAATTGTCAAAATGTATGAATAATTAATAAGTTGTTCATATGAATATTCTCAAAGAACTGGTGGCACAATAAATAACTTTGATAATATGTGATCAATTACCACATTTTTACAAGTTTTAGCATTCATGTTTCATTTATAATTCTTAAATTGGAGGCACACCTTAACTTGAGAAAACATACAAGCACTTGTGAACAAACCAGGTGAGCAGATAACTAGTCCATAAGCATAAGCCATTGTTAAAGTAAACTTGGATTTCAAAGGAAAGTAATAGGATTTATTTTGATTACAAGGAAATCAAAGTAACATTGCAAAAGCAAGCATGCTTAAACTAAAATATGTGATTTTCGACAAAACGAAGTATTATAAAAAATATAACAAAATGTCAACTAATTAACTGAAATTTTTACAAAATTGCCAAAGCCAAAACAAAAAAAAACAAGTCAAGCCATAATCTGAAATTCATGGTTTTAATTTACTGAAATCTGTATAAATATATATTAAATCCAATATGTTAAATTATACTTTTTAAAGAGAATTTTCTCTGAGGAAGTGGAGAAGAACAATACATTAAAAGAACTTCAACATAAATTAGTGGGTGAACAACGAAATTTTAAATA